TTTTTTCAATTTCTTCGAATTCAATTAATTTAATTAATTTAATTGTAGGTTAATTAAATTAATTAAATTAATTAAATTAATTAAATTAATTGAATTATTTTTTTGAGGTGTTTCCTGAGGATCAAATAAAGAATCTATCCGACAATTAAATTAATTAAATTAATTAAATTAATTAAATTAACTAAATTATTTTTTCAATTTCTTCGAATTCAATTAATTTAATTAATTTAATTGGTCTGGAATTGAAGGGGTCACTCCTCAGGAAACACCTCGAAAAATAATTCAATTAATTTAATTAATTTAATTAATTTAATTAATTTAATTAATTTAATTGTAGGTGAATTAAATTAATTAAATTAATTAAATTAATTAAATTAATTAAATTATTTTTTTAATTTCTTCGAATTCAATTAATTTAATGAATTGAATTGTAGGTGAATTAAATTAATTAAATTAATTAAATTATTTTTTCAATTTCTTCGAATTCAATTAATTTAATTAATTTAATTGTAGGTTAATTAAATTAATTAAGATAATTAAATTAATTAAATTAATTAAATTAATTGAATTAATTGAATTATTTTTTTAGGTGTTTCCTGAGGATCAAATAAAGAATCTATCCGACAATTAAATTAATTAAATTAATTAAATTAATTAAATTAATTAAATTAATTAAATTAATTAAATTAATTAAATTAATTAAATTAATTAAATTACTTAAATTATTTTTTCAATTTCTTCGAATTCAATTAATTTAATTCATTTAATTGGTCTGGAATTGAAGGGGTCACTCCTCAGGAAACACCTCGAAAAATAATTCAATTAATTTAATTAATTTAATTAATTTAATTGTAGGTGAATTAAATTAATTAAAATAATTAAATTAATTAAATTATTTTTTTAATTTCTTCGAATTCAATTAATTTAATTAATGTAATTGTAGGTGAATTAAATTAATTAAATTAATTAAATTATTTTTTCAATTTCTTCGAATTCAATTAATTTAATTAATTTAATTGTAGGTTAATTAAATTAATTAAATTAATTAAATTAATTAAATTAATTGAATTATTTTTTGAGGTGTTTCCTGAGGATCAAATAAAGAATCTATCCGACAATTAAATTAATTAAATTAATTAAATTAATTAAATTAATTAAATTAGTTAAATTAATTAAATTATTTTTTCAACTTCTTCGAATTCAATTAATTTAATTAATTTAATTGGTCTGGAATTGAAGGGGTCACTCCTCAGGAAACACCTCGAAAAATAATTCAATTAATTTAATTAATTTAATTAATTTAATTAATTTAATTAATTTAATTGTAGGTGAATTAAATTAATTAAATTAATTAAATTAATTAAATTATTTTTTAATTTCTTCGAATTCAATTAATTTAATTAATTTAATTGTAGGTGAATTAAATTAATTAAATTAATTAAATTATTTTTTCAATTTCTTCGAATTCAATTAATTTAATTAATTTAATTGTAGGTTTTTTAAATTGATTAAATTTATTAAATTAATTAAATTAATTGAATTATTTTTTGAGGTGTTTCCTGAGGATCAAATAAAGAATCTATCCGACAATTAAATTAATTAAATAAATTAAATTAATTAAATTATTTTTTCAATTTCTTCGAATTCAATGAATTTAATTAATTTAATTGGTCTGGAATTGAAGGGGTCACTCCTCAGGAAACACCTCGAAAAATAATTCAATTAATTTAATTAATTTATTTAATTTAATTAATTTAATTAATTTAATTGTAGGTGAATTAAATTAATTAAATTAATTGAATTAATTAAATTAATTTTTTAATTTCTTCGAATTCAATTAATTTAATTAATGTAATTGTAGGTGAATTAAATTAATTAAATTAATTAAATTATTTTTTCAATTTCTTCGAATTCAATTAATTTAATTAATTTAATTGGTCTGGAATTGAAGGGGTCACTCCTCAGGAAACACCTCGAAAAATAATTCAATTAATTTAATTAATTTAATTAATTTAATTAATTTAATTAATTTAATTGTAGGTGAATTAAATTAATTAAATTAATTAAATTAATTAAATTAATTAAATTAATTAAATTAATTTTTTAATTTCTTCGAATTCAATTAATTTAATTAATGTAATTGTAGGTGAATTAAATTAATTAAATTAATTAAATTATTTTTTCAATTTCTTCGAATTCAATTAATTTAATTAATTTAATTGTAGGTTAATTAAATTAATTAAATTAATTAAATTAATTAAATTAATTGAATTATTTTTTGAGGTGTTTCCTGAGGATCAAATAAAGAATCTATCCGACAATTAAATGAATTAAATTAATTAAATTAAACTATTTTTTCAATTTCTTCGAATTCAATTAATTTAATTAATTTAATTGGTCTGGAATTGAAGGGGTCACTCCTCAGGAAACACCTCGAAAAATAATTCAATTAATTTAATTAATTTAATTAATTTAATTAATTTAATTGTAGGTGAAGAAAAATTAATTAATTAAATTAAATTAATTAAATTATTTTTTAATTTCTTCGAATTCAATTAATTTAATTAATTTAATTGTAGGTGAATTAAATTAATTAAATTAATTACATTATTTTTTCAATTTCTTCGAATTCAATTAATTGAATTAATTTAATTGGTCGACCAATTAAATTAATTAAATTAATTAAATTAATTGAATTATTTTTTGAGGTGTTTCCTGAGGATCAAATAAAGAATCTACCCGACAATTAAATTAATTAAATTAATTAAAATACTTAAATTAATTAAATTAATTACATTATTTTTTCAATTTCTTCGAATTCAATTAATTTAATTAATTTAATTGTAGGTCAATTAAATTAATTAAATTAATTAAATTATTTTCTTAATTTCTTCGAATTCAATTAATTTAATTAATTTAATTGGTCAATCAGTTCAATTAATTAAATTAATTAAATTATTTTCTCAATTTTTTCACATTCAGTATTCTTTATTGAATTTAATTAATTTAATTATTTAAATTAATTTAATTATTATTCATAGTACTAACAACAGCCACGACGCAAAATAGACCCTAAAGGTCCCTCTCTCATATATATATACATACATATATATATATACATATATATATATATACAAATAGAAACATACATATATACTGCCCATTACTGCCCTAAACTTTACAGAATAGACTCTCTACTCCAACCTGACTCTGAACCAGCTCAACCTTTTTGGGGGGTTCGCTTGGCCCACGAGGCGGGCCTCGATGTCGGCTTGGACTTTCTCAGTCGCAGATATCTGCATGGAGTCCTGGTTGTTTGCTGTGGCCATGGCGATGGCCACAGCGTTGTTGCTCACATCCTTGCAAAAGAACTGAGATTTCAACAGAACTTTCTCATGCAAGAAGTCCTCACCCAAAGCCCTGAGCCCGAAATCCGATTCTGCCAGTCCTGGACGTGATGCCTGGATTGCCACCATCGGTCATAGGAGAGCTGAAACCGGAAAGCTAACAGGATAGACAGAGGCAAGGCTACGAGCTCGTGGACGTTCGCCCGAATGCGGAAGCTGGCAATCTGGCATGGATACCTGAGCTTTTCCATATTGCAAAAAGCATGATTTCCTGTCACTCGCAGCTGTCTTGGCGGCTACTAAGACACACAATGCTCCATCCTTGCTGCAGCTGTTGCCTCACCAACAGCGATGGGAGCAGACGCTTATTCCATTTCGGGATGTTAACATGCTCGGTGCCTAGCCACATCTTGGTGATGCAGACGGCCACCAGCCCCGACCCGATGCAGGGGATGAGGGGCGCCAGCTCTAAAGCCCTCTGGGCATCCCAAGCCAATGGTCCACGCTGACTTGCCCACACGGCTTCATCTTCGCTGCCCGCTGATTTGGAATACACCACCGCTGCCAGAACAGATCCACCGAGACCGGCGCTGATCAAACACTGAGCACGAAGCGGCTTGGGGACCTTGGAAAACCTCAAGGCCCGCCGGCCAGGGCGCATGCGAAACATGCCGCCGATGCCCCGAAGCCCACGGAGCGAAGCAGCAGGCCGGGCGCCATGCAACGTGGAACACAGAAAGGCCGCCCCCCGCTTCTTACTTCCAATGCGTATGCAATCATGCTCTTTTGGGATCCTACAGGCAATCGCCGGTTGTGAAAGTGTTGACGCGATGCCTGAGAACTCCAAGCTAGCGTGGTGGACAAACATTGTTCGGTAGGCAATGCAAGAAAGTACAGGATGTACAATTTGCCATCCGCCTGAACATCTTGTGAGTACAAGCCTTGGTCTCCGGAGCTCTTCTGCGGAAAGGACTTTGCGGAAAGCTGATTATTAGCCCACCGGGCATCTAACGCAGAAGACAGCAGCTAACGCAGCATCTAGCTGCATCCACTTTGCGTTCAAGGAAGAACTGAGAGACAGAACGGAGGACAGTGGGCTCGAGCGAAGAGAATCTGATATGCACATATATAGATATATATATATATATATATATATATCCATAAATATAAATAAATATATATATATATATATATATGTATGACACCCTGCCCTTTTCTTTTTAATACGATCATCCCAGGCAGGTCTCCTAAGTCCTGGCAAACATTCTGGGCCCAAAAGCCTGGGATGCAAGGTCCGAAAGGATGCCCTCCAATCTCAGGATCGTGTTGCGCACATGGCGGCTTGATGTCCCCAACTCCTTCATGGACTTCATCGACCACCTGACCCGCTCGAGCCAGTGGAGGCCGTAAGATCCTGAGCTCTCATGAGCTCTCTTGCGTCTGGTCGGCGGAAGACAGCTCACGAGGTTTCCTTCTGTCGCTATTCCAGCACGCCTTCGCAGCAAGGGCTGCTAGGCCGATTTCGCGCATTGCGTCAACGTCACTCTTCGCTGTCGCGCGCTTCTTGTGCCGAACTCGTGCTGTCCACAGCCCAGTCTCTTGCAGTTTCCCAGCCGGTATGCTTCAGCAGATTTGATCGCTAGTAGCAAGCATTCACTCCCCAGCCGGCAGCGACGCTTGCATCCAGGTGTAGTAGCTCCTGGGCAGATATGTTAGAGTTCTAGGCCATCACATCAATCCAGTCCCCAAAGGGAAAGATACCACATGTCCAAGAGCGGGCCGAGGGACCCCAGCGCCATGGAGCCTCCATGGTTTTTGCGCCTCTGCTTCTCTGCCTGCAGCAAGTGAGGGCAGAGCCGAAGAGCCGTAAGATGAGAGGCGATGTGTTCAGAGGAGCCCATTCCCGGAGATCGCTGATGAAAGGCTCCCACCGTTGTTTGCTCCCGCTGTTCCTAGATGGCCTTATGTTGATTCCACCCACCTATGTTTGGAATGTGTGCATCACGAGGTGGTCGCGTACACGTCCCAAGTATGGTTCGGGGGAGTGGCCGCTGGGCCCTGGGGGCCCTCTTGACCCACACCCGAGGGCTGTCCGAAGGACAGCACAAGCCAAACTGCCCCCCCGCCCCCGGTCATCTGCCAGAAACCCAAAGCCTGGTACTGACCTGAGCCTTCGGCGGTCTGCAGTCGCATGCGGTCGAACTTGCACTGGCCGATATAGTATGGGCTTATGCTAAGCTGCTAAGTTTTCTCGTTCCCCCCCCCCCCCCCCCTCCCTTCGGCGCCTTTTGCACCGTCCCGGCAGCGGCAGCAGCCGCGTAGAAAGATCCGGCAACCACGCGGAAGTCCAGGCCTTGAAGCCGGGCGACAAGAAATGCGAGAGAGCGAAAAGAGCATCCCATGAACCACCCCCCCCCCTAAATCCTGAACCCTACACCCTCAACCCAAAACCCTAAACCCTGAGGAACTTAGTTGGCTTCTTCTTTTCAGACTCGACTTAAAGACAGATGGCTCAGAAGTCTTCTTTGCGACCAGCTCGCAAAGGCGAGCAAACCATATTATTTCTCCTTTCCCCGCTCTCGTTTCCACCTTCCCTTTTTCAGCGCCCTCTCTCTCTAACCCGTAACCCGGAGTCAGACGCTCTGCACTGTAGATTCTTTCCTCAGGCCTCTGCTCACGCGGGTGGTTGTGCTGGTGTTAGCCTCCGTGTAGTGATCACAAAGATTGCCCCACCAACCTTGCAGCCGTCAGCACCCGATCTTGATAGCGAAAACAGCAGCGACCCTGACCGCATACCAAGGCTCACAATCAACACCATTTGCAACCGGGTCGCGGAACAAGTCTCCTTCACCACCTTCAAATGCATGAAAGTCGGCGCGCCCCGGGAAACTTTCCACGAAAAGGCTGCTGCATCCACTGACATTCGTCAGCGGCAGCCTCTTGGCGCAGACATGCATGAATCATGATAGCCGACCATGACCATTACCAAGGAGGTCCCATAAAGAGCCACATAGACAGGCTCTAAGGCGCTTGCAACCCTTTGACATAAAGACCCAAAACCTCTGATATAAACCCCCCCTAATCCCGCTGATGGACCTGAACCAGCATATGAGCTCTCTCACCGCCTGTGGACCCCCTATGGATCTGCATGGGCCTTTTGTGTGATGAGGGGCTAGGCCTCCAAACCCCTATGCACTGCCTCTTGACCCCCTTCCTTCATCCTCGTGGTGTATACACTCTGTGGACCCCCTGTGCTGTGGACCGGCTAGGGCGTGTTGTGGACCCCGGACGACCCGACGTGGACCAGACACTCTGAATTCGCCTGCAAAGATTGCATGGACACCTACCTTCCATGGACCTTCTCTGGACACCATGGACCTTCAACCCTAAGCACGGTCACCATCTGCACCGGGCCAAGCCGAGGCGCGGCGCGCGAGCGGTCATATGTTGTGCCCCACCTGTGCCTAAAGCATCCCAAGCCTCAATGCAGGACGTAGGAACACCGCAACGCCCTCCGAAGAAACAAAAATCAGCGTGTCACACGCATGCAGACAAAGCATCCAAAAGTTGAGCTCCTCGGGTATGTGCCCATAGTCAGCATCCTTGATAGCCCCAGTGCGGACACATGCAGACAACGGGCATTTCAATCTAAGGGTTGACTGTGTTACGGCAAGGTCCATACCCGACGGTCACAAAAAATCCGAAGAGCAGTCAAGATTTATTGTTAATCTAGATTCTACACAGGGCCTAAGATGAAGGCAGCCTTTTCTACGTCATACAGTACCGAAAGTTCATCTTAAGTACTAACATCAGAGTGATGTTCCTGGGCTTTGGCATAGATTCGCCGTGCTACAAAGGTTGCACAGATGTCCTTGTGCCTATGGCTTGGTCACGCACGATGCGCCGATGATAACTTGTCATAGAAATTCACAAGGATTTAGAACCGAGCGGTGCATGAGCTCACCGAGGCGCGCGGTGTCGCTTCGTTGCTGCATGCGCGGATGGGAGCACGACTCGTATCACGGGCTCCGTCTGCAAGGGCTGAGAGGAGTTGACTGCTGTCGCGGATAGCACTTGAAGCTAGTGTGCCTACAGACAGAGTGCCACCGAGCGCAAGCGGGTGAGCAGTGTTCGACTGCACGTTTCCTGAGACTCTCCTTTGTGAGCCCAACATGGCCTGGACTGCTGCTGCAAAGCCCTCCACGCGCTCCCCTGGCAACAGCTCATGCGAAACATCGATGCGAGAACCGGAAAGGTTTGTAAGAAGCTCCCGCTGACAGGGACTTCGGAACGCCTGCAGCCCGGGCCAGCCCAGGCAGCACCTCCTCTGTGACGAATCGCCTCTGGGCAAAGAAGGGAAAGCAGTGGATCGGGATTGGGATGGAATTTGGGGTTCAGGCTGGAACTCGTGGAAATGGGAACACATTCTCGTGGAGGCTCTGCGCCTGTAGAGCTCCTGCAGCCTCGCGTGAGCCTCGTGATTCCGGTAGCGATGACGACAGGCGTCCTTGCTCTTCTTTGCGCCGTGGAGTCCCGCCAACGTCATGCCTGGGCTCGGAGGATGGAAAACTTGAAATAAAATGATCACACAAGGCTTACCTGCCCTCTCTTACACCTTCGTTGCAGCCGGGCGGCCGAGTTGGAGTGGAGGGCACGGCTGGAAGTCCTCGGAGCGCGGTACCTCCGAGCGGCCGATGCCACGTCCAAGGATCTTCAGGGGCGGCTTACGGATGCGGCTTGCCATCCTACAACGCGCTCCACAACAACAAACAAGCAGGAGGCGAATAGCTCTTCGATTCCAGGATGTTGTTTTTGTGCTTAGTGTCTTCGTGACGTGGGGCGGTGTGCTGCGTGCTGTGTGCTGCGTGCTGCGTGCTGCGCGTGCTGCGTGCTGTGTGCTGCGTGCTGTGTGCTGTGTGCTGTGTGCTGCGTGCTGCGTGCTGTGTGCTGCGTGCTGTGTGCTGTGTGCTGTGCTGGCCTCATGGACCTGCTCCAGGAGCTTCGGTGGGCACTCCAGGAGCTCGGCTACGACGGAGCGGAAGTCGAAGCACGGCGCCGGGAGGCCTCGCCGACGGCGGAATCTTACGAGAGGTGGAAAAAAAAAACGAGAATCACTAGAAAGACACCTGACTGCCGTAGCTTCTAAAACAAGGCTCGGAGCTTCTGTGGGTGACTGTACAGCGACCGCCATTGGGCGGGAAAGCTCTCCAGTAAAGCCTCCCCATCCGCGGATGCAGCCAAAGACAACCTGGCTTCTGCAGCTGCAACCTCATCCGCGCTCACCTCTGGAAGCAAGACAACCGCAGGGTCTCTGCAGGACTCCTCTGAGTCCTCAGCACACGCCAGGGGAAGGTCATTGAAGACGCTGCTGCTGGCACTCAATCACGGAATCTCCCATCCCACCACATCTTAGGTTCCACAGCAAAAACCGAAACCCCACCTTTTTTGAGGCCCAGCCACCCACGAGGCCAGGCCCTCTTCCAGCTCCCCGCAGGCCTCCTGATCGAAGAAGGTTCTGATGAAGGAGGGCCCCTGACCTTGGCCAAGGTTGAATCTTTCTCTTACAGCTTATTACAGCCTTTTACAGCTTATTACAGCTTATTACAGCTCAGGCAGCTCAGGCTTCAGGATGGTTTCAGGGCAGCTCCGGCTTCAGGATGGTTTTTGGGGTAGCAGACAGCCCATCCCTGACCCCGCCTAAGCCAACCAGATCCGGTCACTTCAGTACAAAGACACCTGCGCACTGGTCGCAGAATCTCAACAAATTCGAAACCACCGGGGCGTCCATTTTCGCCAAGACTTGAAAGCAAGATGAAAAGTGCGAAAACCACCGGGCCATCTATTCTTACAACCACTCCACCCCAAAGAACTACAACCTCGCAACTTGCAAACCATCCTCTTCCCGAAGCCTCAAACAATGAACGATCTACAGCCCATGTCTTGGTGGACTTGAGGGACGAAGACTCCTTTCCCTCCCCCGCGAACCCCAGACCCTAAACCGCAGAATCCTACATCTTCTGACCCCTGGTCACTTCTGAAAAAAAGTTATTGTCTTTTTTGGGGCGACTATTGAGGCGGCCCCCTCGTGTTTAGGGTCCCCAGACAGGGACCAGAATTCCCAGAATTTAGAGAACTCTCCCCTCAGGGCTCAAGCTTTCGGGCAGATCCCTGCCCCTGGAAATCACACGGTCTACGAAAACAATCAGGGTTCAGAGTTGCAAAAAAAGGGCGGCTTCGGAAGCACCTTGTGGGAGTTTGGAACCGGAGCATTTACACCAAAATTCGAAATTGTAAGTCTTTGCAAATATTCTTGGACTCTTGCAAAAAATCGCTTCTGCAAAATATTGAATGTTCAGGCTCGCGAGCCAAACCCAAATTCAAAACATCGCAACAATCATCGCAAAATTTGCGCACACCAAACCCAAGTGCTGAAGTTCAATCTTCTTGAAATTTCGCATCCGCGCGCCAAAGAAAAACGCATAAATCCTGGCAACGGGAATGGTCGACACATTCAGTTTCTTGGCGCACTTGAAACAAAATCGGCGCATTGATTATAGTTAGCGATCATGTTCCCTAAGCGCTAAACCCTAGACCCTTGTGACTGTCTGGTGTGTCTCCAGTCTTGCCTTCGCCAAGGCCGAATTTTCCTTTGAGCCTCTCCGCTGAAGTGCCTGTCGCTTGATGTTACCAGCCCTCGCGACCTCGCTTGGTAATTTCATTCTGGGGTTTTTGCAGTTGATAACCTAGCCGGGGGGGTACAGTCGTATAGCAGGGGGGGTAGTACGGGAACCCATGATAATGTGAACGATTGCAAGCCTCCCGAAAGATCCCGAAGGCTGAGTGATGGGCGCACAGGGTCGCGAACGCCACTGCCGAAGGCATCGCAGTAGTAGTGCCACACTTTGCGTCCATACACACTTGCCTGAGGAGCTTCACTGAAATTTCGAGGACACGAATGATTGAAGCAGAGAAGGCGCAGCAGACTCGTGCACAAGCTGCACAATGTGCATGCAGAACAAACTCGAGCAAAAGGGATGCTCAGCCCTCAGTGTCCTTCCCTGATCACTGAATCCCCACCTTCTGGAACGACCGCACGCGCTGAACCAGGGCAAGTGTATCCGCCTCCATGGCCATTGCGGAAAACAGCCAATACGGGATGGTCCCTACCTGAACTTCGATCGAAATCTCCAAGCTCCAATGTGTCCACAGTTGAAAGATGCGGGAAGAAGTGGTGCAAAATGGAGCAAAATGGTGCAAACATCACATATGGAAATCACATGGACATGTTTGGCGCCTGTCTATCAGGCATCCCGCCGTCAGTGTAACTGCATGTTGCAGGAACTGCAGGCCCGCAAGCCTTCTCAGCATGGCTACCTGCTTTAACACATCAAGACCTGATGCTTCATGGACCTCCAACAGGAAGAAGCATGCCATCACTTTGCCGGCTGAAGTCCTATGATTCTTGTGCAAAACCATCGACGGCATAGTTCAAGAGATAGGTAAGTTGAGACACGAACTGCCTCAAACCGATAGACGCGGGACGACAAAGGGCATGCAGGCAGGTTTGGAGGTCTTCATGAGCTAGCAGGCTTTTGCTGCATCCAGAAGACGGAGCACAGCTCCTAATCCTGATCTCAACACTCTAGAGGCATATTCGCCTCAAGAGGAAACAGGCTCCACCCAAGCAAAGCTGACGTTCACACCCACCCCCCTTCTACTGAACTTACGATCACATACCATCTTGGTTTCCGCTGGGTCTTGCAAGCCTGTACCAACTTCAGGGCTTGATATGCTTTTTGCACCGCAGGAAGAAACACTGGCAGCTGGGTGAGCAGCCCACACGTGGAGCTCAAATTTCTTGACTTAACCTGACAACGCCTCAGGAACCATGGACAGTTATTGGTTATTGGCCAAACTTTTCCGTGGAATCCTCAACCCAGCTGCACATTGCCTGGAACTTCTAGCTGATCACTTCTCAGAAGAGTTCTTGAAGTAGAGCTGAACGTTGAATACACTGACACAGACTGACACACGGGACTGTGCCAAGCTCCAAGCTGTAAGACGACTCAGTTGAGTCAGGAAACCCCACAGGTTCTTGAAACTCTCTAGCAAGAGCCAAGATCCGAGCAAACGCTGCACGACAGAGAACAACCAGTGCGTGCAAGTGTCCTGCACTCTCCCTGCTTTGCAACCTGCGTGCCACACACGTGCAGCCAGGAATGTTGAGTGTCTAGATGTGACTACGGTCTCTTTATCCTTTTTATGCTTTGGGTTTTGACATGTTCTGACTCAACGGGTTGATACATCGACCCATCGTGATTCTGCAGAGATGCAAAGTGGGCCGCGAGCAAGGGCAGCTCGGTGATCGTACTCAGGAAAACTGCGGGGGAGCCTCCACCTGGAACCAGGCACGTGCACCTTACACTTGTACCACCGCTAATGTGAGCTGGACTTACCGGGAACTTTCCCTTGATCACCAAGCCGACGAGCGCTGTGCTGTGCGAGCTCGTTCCACACGGCTCGGGCAGCAAAGGCGGAGCGGGAAAAAGAGTGAGGGGCTCTCGCCATTGTGTAGACCCCCTCCTGCCTACTGAGCTTTTGCGAAGACTCAATACGTCAGTTTGAGCATCATGATTCAGGATTTGAGGCTCATGCCTCGATGTTCGCCGTATACCCAAGGCACTTACCAATGCACATTGAGTCTCATTGAGTCTTAGAGTCTTGCTGAGTCTTGCGCCTGCATCCAAAGTAGGTATTTACACTGGCACAAAGCGGTATCAGGCCCAAACCAAGACCGCAGCGCGCCAAAATCAAAGAAATCCAGGCCACAGGCCTCTTTGCTGGAGTGCTTAGCGGAACCCTCCCCTCAACCCTAAACCTGCAGCACCTTGATTTAGGTGCACTCCTTTGCAAAGGGATCAACGGAGTGGCGTCTGGAAAACGAGGCTGCAAAACCAACCCATATGCGCCAGACTTCTCCTCTTTGTTGCCACCCACAACACGCCGACCAACATCCACCTCTTCATAGAACACATAAGACTAATAAGACTATTTTCGATGGACCGCGTCCTTTCTCGGCTGCCGGGCTTGATGTCAAATTAAATTGGGCCCTCATTTTGTGTAGTGCTGAACCAGGACATATGCAGGGAAGGACGACCCGGAAGCGACAGGACCGGCCTTTTGAGCTGTCTGGGTGACCAAACCAACGAATTGAGGTGCCAGGTTTGAGGAAACCTGCTGCATTTCGCTTCTTCCAGGCTGCGCAACTTGAGCAGTGCTCTGACTCATGGGACATCCACCTGTGCTCCCTCTGTCCGCGAAGAGCGACCAGCATGAAGAGAAAAGTGCAAAACATGTTGAGTGCTCGATTTGTGCATGCTATCAGGGTTTATGCGTTCAAGCTGCTGCTCACATCCTCGCTTGGAAACAAGGGCAGCTTCCACCACGAAGCAGTGCCACTAGGGTTGCCGGCTGCCCGGGGAAAATTTCACCTTGCTGGGCTAGTCGGCTAGTCCAGGAGAGCGAAGGCTACCCCGCACTGCGGGCAGAACGTGTGTGAGGCATCTCGTGGCCTGAGCGTGCACTGTCTGTAGGCTGATGAACACGAATATCTTCATATATATATATATATATATTATATATATATATACACACACATATATATTTTTTTTTATTTATATGTACCATACATAAGTATGCCTATATGTACATATATGTATATGCTCAATGAGTCAACCTAGAAGTCAACACAACTCAAAGATAAACACCTAAACAAACTCCAAGATTCCAAAGCTTACGGACAACATCTCAAGAAAGGTTTGGATGTTTGCAAATGATTGGAGAATGGGGGGCTGGTCGTGCTTCCAATCAAAAAGAAGCTAAAAAAAGACTTCCCGCCTGGAGACATGCTTACCACACCGACCCCCCCCCCCCCCTCACGCGCCCTCCCACACGTCTGCCCCAACCGCTTGCACACAGAATGTGCAACATTTTTGAATTGAAAACTCAAACAAATCGGAATTTACCTCCGCCTGAACGATTCCAAAGGGCGACCACATCATGTGTATGTCAATGTTTAACTTACAAATCCGCCCCGACCCCGGCAAGCTGGGGGAGAGAGCCATTGAAGGGCTGTTTCTGCTCTCGCAGATGCCTGCTCAGTGAGGAGCCAGGCTCGGGGAGGAGCCAGGCTCGCTCCGCTGCTTGCTCGGGTTTTCATGACATTTCTGCCTGTTTGCTTGCCCTGCTGCTCTGCGCCTGGAGCCTGGCGGCCTTTATGGGGTCGGCGGAAGCGGCGTTAGCCCTTACTGTAGATAGATGTATGTATGCTCATATCTGTGTAGGTAGTGGTCTTGGGGAAAGCAAAGATGTGTGTATGAACATATATATATATATACTACCGAATATTCCATCTAATCAGTGCACGCATTGGGTATATTGCAAAGTGCATGAGTACTCGTACAATCGGCAAGAACCGCTCACTAAAGAAAATCGTCAATGCTACAGTACGCGTTGGACGGCTGCCAAGATGCACCCCGCACCATGAGCAGAAGTTCTTGGGGCGGAGATATGCGGGCGTACCTCGGGACAATGACATAGGGCCAGCGAACGACCTGCTTGCTGGCACATCTTGCTGCGTACTGAGACAGCACGCAGGACAATAGCTTTTCAAGTCTTGTTTCTGATGGCCCAAGCTGCCCCACTCCCAGTAACTCGGCTGCGAAGGTGAGCTCATGTCCTCGTAATCATCACCTCAGGTGATGGGTCCAGTGCACATATCATCAGTCTTCTTTGGTAACCCCTCAGCTTGATTCTGAAAATAAGGGCATTTTCACCGCTCCAGAAATGTTAGGGATTTGGGCTTGGGGCTTCGGGTTGAGCTGGAATCCTGAAGCCAGGCGTCTGAGCATGGAGGTCATGCCGGCCAATAGGTGCGAGATTCCCTCGGGCGGAGCATGAGATTATGCGATGCAGAATTGCTGTTGGTGCATTCTGGATGGAGCCCGTATGCAGCTCTTCCAGATTCAGGTGTGTAGGAATTTCAGGTTCGGATTGTGCTCATCCGGAATCGAATGCTTTGCAGTTGCTCGAGTGGCATCTTGGGAAACCATTTGAGGGGCCTTCAACTTTGACTGATGTAGCACGGGTGGCCGAGTTAAGTCGATGTGTGTTATGTTCGTGCTCGTCGACAAGATCCCATCCGAGGGTCTTCCAAGCCCTCGTCGTCCAGCAAGTCGTGCTTCTCGCGGTCTCCCTCAATCAGGGCTCAATGACATGCTCCAAAGAACGGCAGCTTGCCCTCAGACATGTCGACGCAACTCGGGTCAGACGATGCGCGATTTTTCCGGGGGGTGGAATCAAGGCCTGCGATCGCAACCTTGGAGAATAAGCCCCAAGCTAGGGGAAAGGGATAAAAACACTTCATTCTTTTTGGCGCACAAACGAATCCAAAATACTCTTCAAGGATCAAAATAGAAGGTTGGGGGGGGGGGGGGGGGGGGGGGGCAGGGGGGGGCGGGGGGGGGGCGGCGGGGGCGGGGGGGCGGGGGGGGGCGGGGGGGGGCGGGGGGGCACACTTGCTTTCAACGGCATGATGCTCTCAAAAGCAAGCTTGCCTCGCCCATTGCAAACACAAGGCTCGCAGGACGGGCTTCGAACGATTCATAGGGTATTTGCAGCAGGCTCAGGCTTGACGCCTGATGTTCTTAAGAGTGAATGCCGGCTTTCAAGGCGGAGGGGTTGGGCGGTTCACAGCCCACCCATTGGCAAAGACAATGCTCGTAGGACGTCTTTCGGACAATTCATCGGATATTTGCACGGTCCTTCCTCCTTCCTTCCTGCCTTATCGCATGGATGCGGAACCAATTGAAATTGATGCCCGAAAAGTTTGTTTTTGATCATTGATCCTAAAAAAGTTCATTTGATCCTGCAACGGCTCTACTAGAATATCGCAGCTCCATCCCCCGACCCCAAGTTGCCAAGCAAGACCCTAAATCAACCCTAAACCCTAAACCCGAAACCGCCTCGTCGCCCTCAGAGCTGTCATGACTTCCTGAGGCGGTAGAGCGGCACCACGCGAGATCGTCGTCCTCCGCAGTATGAGGGGTCAATGACACCTTAAGGCCTGTGGAGCCCTAAAGCCTAGGGAACCTGAACAGTAAGTAAAGCATGCTTATATTCATCTTCGTATTTGTTCATATAACCCTGCACCCTAATCCCCAGACCCGGACCCCCAACAGGGACCAACCTTCTCGGCGATGGCGGCCCCGGTGGGAACGTACCTGCCAACAGGGCTTAGGTCGCCTTAACACTTTTCTCATGCTCTCGCCTTCTCTTCCCTAAAAATCCCTTTTCGGGATTTTGTTTGGAAGTTTTCTCTGCGTGTGGCTTTGTGATGCGTGGCTCTTTTGACAGATTGGTGGAGCACATGGGCTCGGACTTGTCCAGGTCCTCCAAACCAGGAGGTAGCTTAAGGTTCCCTTCGTGAGCGTCGAACGTCACCTTCTTCCTGCACACCATGCTAACGGAAAAGCGACGCTCGGATCTCACAGGGCTCACAGAAGGTCGAAGCCATGGAACTTCTTGCATAAGTCCTTGACATTGATAGCCACTCTGACACCTTCTCAACTGAAGAATGCGAGCTCCTGAGCAGCAACCAGAGCCAGGGGTGCAAAAAAAGAACGGTGCTTCTCGCCCTCAACGGCTTGAGGTCCGGACATCGGCTGGGTCTCCATTGGGCCCGGGCGTGAGGATTTCACCTGACAGCGTCTGACAGACCCGCAAATGATCGGATGCGGCGGCTTGTCTCAGCTCCCCTGAACCAAAACCTTACTCGCCGTTCCGTCCCAGCCTCTCTTGTGGATGGCACGCCGAGGTCAGGAAGAGATCCGTTCTCTAAAACGGAGCCACAAACGCTTCGACAGAGGTTCCAGCTGAATGTTGCCAGACTGTTTCCCTAGTCCATTATGGAGGACTTAGTCGTTAGCGAAATGCTGCAGTTACGGGAGTGCCGATGGTTGCGCTTGTGGTGGTTGGCTTGGAGCAGTTTGTTGGTTGAGGCGGTGGCGCAACAAGGCAAACAACAAGAAATGAAACCGAAAACACCGTGCGGTCGCCGTCTGGATGCAAGAGATAGGCTTGCAACGCCATGGTTTTGCCCTGTCACGTTCCCAAATGGCAGCCGTCCAGGTGCGGCATGCTCCTGAAAGAGTGGCAGCAAATTTTTCATCTCAGGCAGAAGGAAAAAAACACCAGCAGGTTCATGATGTTACTGGCCCTAACTGGCTGCTTGGTACAGATGTCACGACCACCACTAACTACAACATCCGGCATTGAAGGCTCGGGTGCCGCCAAGTGACGGGCGATTGCGGGTGCTCCCGCTTTGACGGCAGTAGTTGAAGTTGGCAAACGCCTGATAACAAAAGTGACATTTGCGAGGTCTCCAACAACTGCCCTGTTTCTGCAGGCCCTGACTCCAAGGTTCTCAGGGTGAGCCCATCGAATCCCAACAATTTCTCTGTAATGGCAGGAGGAGAGGGTCGCCTCACCTCTTGCATTTGCATGCTTGTGTGTGTGTGTGTTCGGGGGGAGGGGGGGGGGGCGGCGGCGGTTCGGGACCCTCTCTTGTGAGAATGCCGCAGCATACCATACCATACTTCAAGCGATCCCACATGTCAGTACATGTCACCTGCCTCGCACTCTTCGGTGCTTGAGAAGGCCAGGCTTCGCTCCAGTGGGCAAAGGGTTTCCGGAGAGATCGAAGGGCAAGCACTGAAGTCACAGAGTCCGCCTGTCGCCACCGTTCATCAGAAGTCACACGCAGGAAGATTCGAACACAGTCGCATGCTCTGGCCCTGTGATGGAGATGTCTACGATATCCCCTACGTGCCCTGCCTCGAACGAAATCCCCGCCCTTCAGGCGGCTGTAATGGTGGTCCATTTCCTCTGCGAAGGTCTGAACTGCCTGTCGCTTGCGTCCAACACAAAAGTAAAGCCGTGGTTGCATGCATGCATTGAACTCTCATGCTGATCACTGCACCGAAGCTCATGCCGGAATCGGACACCTGGCCAGTGATCAGGTTCTTCCAATACCTCATCTGTGTCACGAGGCGCAGGGTACTGCAGGGCAAACATAACCTTGAAAACATGTTTACGAAACCCTCTTGTACATGCAACCTTATGCCTTGTGCCTCACACCCCCACTTCCCTGCCACAGCCAAGCATCGGATAGTTCATCCCATCCGCACTGTTGAAGCCTGGCGCCAAGACGCGTGGATGAAGATACGTGAGGGTTTGTACCCAACAGAATTCAGCAAAATCTCCTTGTGGGCTCCGCAGCACTGACCCCATCGTCCAGTATGGAGTGAAGCAGCTTAACCGAGCCCCATTCCTGAACCAACATGGGCATAGACCCCTGAACCACTGCCTGTTCCCAGCTGCTCCTCCCAGGCACTCTCTTCCGTCAGGTTCTCCAATGGCCCGTACCCGTTGAGGAAGTTGCCATTCAAGGCCCAGGCTGCATGCAGACCTTGCAAGAAAATCGATTTTCTCGGGACCGCCCCGAAGCCTAAACCTTTCAACCTTAAACCTGTGCCCATACCCAAAAAACTCCAAAAAAAAGCCTGGCGACTGTGGGGCCAAGGACCACCGATGAAACTCGTCGGGTCGGGCAGCGAGCACATCTGCACATCCCTGAGCTGCTCCTGAAGAGCTGCCCTTTTAACCTTCTTGAGAAACCTAAGGGTGTGCGGTAGGGTCCAGGTGACAGGAGTCTGGCTACCAGCTGAAGACTACAACACTCCCTGTTCCCTTTGAACTGCTGAAGAAAGTCTGGGACCCTAGGAAAAGCTCGCCTAGGTCTGCAACAAATCACTGCGTCGCCTCTGTCAGCGCCACACTCCTTGAAGGGATCAACGGGGTGGCTCAAGCGCGAAAACCGCGATGTGAGCAAAACATAGCAAGACCGAACTCAGCAGCGGCAAGCGAAATCCCAAACCCGAAACCCCTTGAAAAACCTTATGAAACTCCAAGAGTCCATAAGCGCACGCTCGCCAACTCACACTCCACCGCAAGGCCCTGGTGGCCGCCACCCACGAGGAACTGCCCGTTGTCGGCAATGTTCTCCTTTGTTGCATCACTTGTTACTTTCACGTTCCAAAGAGCGGACACCCAGGATCTTTGCTACAGACCCGAACATAGGCCAGGCATCCGCGAGAGGCGAGTAAGTCAGACGCCCGGGGAACTCGATGCTGTCCACCAGAAGTCGCCCGCTTCCCACATACGCCATAGTTGGAAACAAGGAATCGTAGATGTACTGGTTATTCTCCACAGGAAGTAAGCCTGTGTAGGCATTCGAGATATCGGTGGTGATCCTCATGGCATTCATCATACCTTGGTGCTGCACACTTCTCGGAAAAGCATGAAGAAAATGGTTCATCCCGGAAGCAAAAAGCCTTAGGTGAATCGAGCTGCTTGCCTCGAATGTGTCACTTCGGACAAGACGGGCCAAGGAAAGCTCGGCTGACTTTCTGTCCACATTGACCTGCGCTTCCAGTGGTTCAAGCATGATCGAGGGGAACACAGCAGCACCTCAATGATCAGCCACAAAAGCTTGTTCTGCATTCTGCCCCTTCACATAGGATTCCAGATATCAAAGGCACCCCAAAAAACCCGGACTCAAATTTATAGCAAACCTCTAGCCAGCGCGTGGATCCAAGGTGCAACCATGGACACCGCAGTGCGCCCCTCATTCCCGATCAGCTGCTCATCCTCAGCCCAGGCTCCAGCTGAATGCGTTTTAGGGGGGGAAGCTGAAGAAGGGATCCTGTTGAAAGGTCCCCATTGCACCCCACCACAAAAACGTATCCAGAATGGTAGAGGCAGTGAGAACCACCGGCACATTGGTGAAGATCCCCATGTTCACCTGTTTACCTGTGACCATGGGGACACCGAAGCTCGATGCGTCCAAGCGACACTCAGGTACACCCAAACATCATCGGAGGTCATGTTGGACTCTGCAGCCATGGCAGCCTTGAGATTGACGATAAAATCGTCGAGAATCGCAGTCCTACCTCAGCAAGGAAAGCTGCTCGGTAAGCCGCGGCCAAACGGCAGTGCACGCTCGGCCCGGCCTACTGAAAAAAGAAGGCACCATCATAGCAAAACATAGCAAAACCAAGTGCAAAACATCGCCCAGTTACCGGAGATGGTCAAGTAGCGCAGGTGCATGAACTTAAAGCCTCACTTTGTGAGCTAAAGGCCCAGGCCATCTCTTCAAGTATAAGCCAGCTGAGCAGCTCTTGTAGATTTGGGCACCTCCACCAGCCGTCTGATTCCAGATCGCCGCAACGTGATGCCACCTCATGCTGGACTTGCTAGACGGCGCTCGACGGCGCTCGACGGCTTGTTTCTGTTGCCGCTGTTCATTGAATGAAAAACCCCTATCGCCAAGTAGTCGAAACATGATTCCCTACGTCAAACAAAACCCCTTCATCAAGATTGCGCACTTGCAACCTCTTGCAGGCACATGGCTTACCATCAATCACATTCGGGCCCTGAATGTAGCCACTTGACCTGAAGGCACGGTCCCGCTGAAATGCTTGCACAGCTAGGGGCACAATAGCCAAAGAAAACCACCGCCGTGCTTGTACAGAGGCATGCTATTGGTAGTGCACCACAAGGCGGGGGTCGGGGGGTCCCTGCGCCGTGCCGGAAGGCAATACCATGCAATACCACTGAAAGAAACGGCATGGTAGTTGATGCACGCGGGATGCAACAATGCACAACACCCACATCTCGAATTGCAAGTTCGAGCGGCTCGCCAGTGTTGCTGCTCAGCCCTACCGTCCCGTCTGTCTCCAGCCAGATGGCACCATGTCGCCGCCTCATGCCGTTCGTCGAAACTAATGCTCGTGTACTCTGTTGTCATGCAAGCCGGGCAGAACCTTCGACGGAGGCTCAACAATGATTCAGCTAGGCACCGACTCTCCTTGCTGTAGGTTTGGTCAGCGTCATTCGTGCCAAACGTGCCAATGAGCATGGACCGTCCAGCTACAGGTGCTGCTTTCACGTGGAACCAGCCTGCAAAAGCCATCGCAGTTAACCCTAAACCCCAACACGTTCTCAGGGCGGAGGGCACATTTCGGCGGCCTTCCCACGTCATGTCAGCTGCGCTGTACGCTGCCCACTCGTCTGTGAGCGGAGGAATGTTGAGACCGGAGCCCTCTGGAACTGAGCAGAAGGTGGCAAGAAGAGCTGGCTGGCACAGTTCCATTTAGGCTTCAAGAGCTTGGCCACCCGGCTTTCGGACATGCGGGTTGTAAGCTTCATCCAGCTAACACCATGTGTCCTTGGCTGAAGCCACTTAGGAGGCTGTTTTGTATGTGAGGCAAAAGAAAGCGCACGGCCCAAAAGCAACCTTGAACTGAACCTAAGGCCACGTCGAAAAGACCTCTGTCTTCTCAAAGCATCTTCCAGGGCGTGTCACCTGCGGCAACTTGCATCATGCATGCATCATGCATGCAGGCTCAGCAACAAAGCATCATCACATCCACCCATTCTGCGCCTTTCCTCTGTTTTCGCAGTTGTAGGCACAGAAAAATGCTGGGGCAATCCTTATTTCATTTGGCAGAACAGCTGAATCATCAACGATTTTGTGATTCTCAGTTTGCTTTGCTGCCTTGTATGTTGTCAAGCCTCTGCTGCCCACGCCTGCTGACCTGAAAGTAACTCGCTTCACATCTTGATGTCTTCTTCAAGGACCCCAGATATGCCTGCACATGACCTGTTCGATTAGGCCCCCTGCCGCTTCAATCGCCAGCGCTACACTCTGTGCAGACCCGCCACAGTCCATAGTCCAGCTGGAACCTCGGCAGGGTGGCCACACACAGCAGCGAATAAATCCAAGACAGGAGTGAAAAGGTTGCACTAAGCTTCTAAACAGCTGTGCGCTGAAAGGCTGATTCTGCGAACTGTCTGATGCCCAGGAGCTGAGTGGCGGCGTGGTCGCTGTGGAAGAGATGTACGCCACGTAGCTGCAAGCTCCATCCCCGTCCAAGTCGTTTGTAAGAGTCCTGTCCGGGGTGCCAGGCAGGTAGCTGATGATCCACCTGCCCAAGACTGCAAAGCACACAGAGCGTTGCTTGTATTGACATGAATTTAACTCCTAAACCCAAGTGAACCTGGAGTCTGCAGCTCCACCATCGCAGCTGGGGTCAAAGTAGATATGGAGATCGCTTGCGGCGGCTTTGTACAAGGGGGCCCCACTCGCAGTTTCTCCCTGGAGGTTGTACTCCTGGGATCAAGGGGGCCCATCAGGGTCAAGGCCATCTTTCCCAACTCCCAAAACGATACAAACTCATCTCGTCTCAGCCATCTCCGCCCAGTGTCTGTGTCGACATCTGCACGCGCTGCACACGAGCCGTAAATCGCGATTCGAGCAGGGGCAGCCTGGACGCAGACATCATATGACACAACAGCTCGTTGGAAGCACCCGAAGACCGAATTGCTAGCCTTAGCCAGGACAAGGCAGAGCTGGAAGACAGCCGTCCACTGGCCACGCATTTAGAAATTGGCTCAAGGAGTTGTACCCTACACCACCTGGCTGAATATCGGAGTAAGAGATCCATGCTGGTAAGTAGGCGTACGTTGGTGACCCTCACGACCTTCGCTGAGTGACTGCAAATGATCGGCGATTTCCTCGAGCCCGAAGTGGCAGCGTAAGAGCTCACGTTGAGTCCGAAACCTCACGATGTAGGCTGTTCGTTGTGGAGCTCAGTCTTGCAACAGGTGGCTCTGCGCCGAGAGATCGGAACAATCATGACCAACTCCCATTTCTCACCCGTGCCACTTGCGCCATGCTCAAGCACTGCCCTTCTCATGCGTAGCCTGCGTCCTCGAGAACCTGCAAGATTACAGAGCTTAGGCAGCTTGGAGCTTTGAAGTCTCGGCAAGTCCTCTAACAGACCTTCATGTCATCGGCTGAGATCTTCACAGCCTTCTTGGCCTGTTCGGGGCACGTCACACACACCCGAAACCCCACAACCCTGCATACCGTATGCATACCCGACTCAAAAAACCTCAGAAAACCCAGCCTCGTTCTTGGCCCTCAGCGTGGCGGTCTTCTTCTTGTAGAAGGCTTCGCTCTTCACCTGCGATTACACACTGACGCGCCAATAAGTTCAGGGAGTTGAGGGCCTGTTTCAAGTCTGACATGAAGCATTTTCTGACATGAAGCTTTTTTATCGCTCCGGAATAGGGCTGAGCAGCTTGACACCTCTTTACGGCTCCTACTCGCTCTAGCATACTTTGCGAGTTCAGGGTTCCCAAGGCAAGACTGACTCCTGCGGAAAGGGGAGCTCAAACAACAGTCCTCTCAGTCCTCTCAGTCCTCTCAGTCCTCACACCTTGCGCTGCGACTCCAGGCGCTCAATCAGCGCGCCGTGCTTCCAGCCCACCTGGTTTAAGCTTTAAGCTCTTCTGCTAGTGGCGTGCTGGTGGTTTTTCTAATGATGCACTGCCACGGGATTCGATGATTCGATGTACCTACCTCCTTGGAGAGGTCGCCGAGGCGGCAGAACCGCCGCTCGGGGCGGAGGCGGAGGACTTTCAGGCAGCTGGGGACCTCGGCGGCGCAGAAGAAGCTGTCCACCGTTTGCCAGAGACTGCCACAGGCAGTTTCATGCTATCCAGTTAGCCAGTCCCACTGAGCTGCCTGCAACCATTCCTTGCCGAGACTCTGCACTGCCGCTGACTAGCTTAAGGCGTGCAGACTCCAGACACTCCAGACAAGCGTCGCTTCTTGCGGTCATACGGATGCGGGATTCCCTCGAAGGTCTTGAGCCTAACACCCATGGGCCATGGCCAGCAAAAAATCACCGAGTCCTCTTGCCATCTCATGAACCGACCGCGCCTGTCCAGGGCAGCTGCTCCACGAGCGGTCTTGTGAGGAACCTGATTCACTGATGGTGACAGTCCTAGCTACGTCAAACAGCGAGGACTCATTACTTCGAGGTTCCACAGGAGGACTGACGTGGCTGGCAGATGCTGGCAGCGTCTTCTAGTCCAAGGCACCATTCCGCGGATAGTGCGCCAGAGGATCTTCGATGGTGCTCGGTAGTGGAAAGGCCCTTGCCGGGGATTGGTGTTCCTCGGCGGTGGCATGCTGTCTCAGAACTCCAGTCATTCTGACTCAAGCCTGTCACTTCAACGCGCTTCATGTACTGGAATTCCGGCACACACTGTTGAGGACAAGGGTCATGTGCTTCCTCTTGAACGCTGCGTACTTCAGCTTGTTGCGGTACAGGGAGCCAGAGATGTTGATGTCTTCCGCGCGGACGCACACGACGTGCCTTCAGGCACTTGTTCGAGCATTGATTGGCGGCGAAGAGCGGCTTGGATCCCTGCTGTCCATTCAGCAGCTCCTTTGCGAGCACGGATGCCAGGCCTCGGGCTGGTGTTCAAAGTGTCTGACTTCCTACGTCTTCCAATGTCTTCCACATCCTTCGCACCCTCCTGGGTGCAGAGCGACCCAGCAAATGCCCGCGGCAGTCCACAACAATCTGCCAGCAACGCGCGCGCTGAAGGCACAAAGAGCTAGTATGAAGATCTATGGCGCAGCGCTGGCATGTGCGACAGCAGCCCACCTGCGGCGAGAAGGACATCCTCAAAGGCGCTTGCCTTCACCCCGAGCCCCGCCGACCAATCGCTTGAGCCGACTCGCGAGGCGACAATGCTGGAAAGCAAGGAGACACCTTTGGTCCAAGACTTAAGATTGGGCCTCTTTTGTGTTGGGAGCATCGCACTGCTTGGCCACACGGGCACGGAACAAGAAGTGGCCTGGTTCTTTACCCTTTGTCACACCCGAGCCATTCGCGTCAGTGCTCAAGCAGCATACAGCTCGCGCATAGCTCACGCATAGCCCGCATCCTCGAGGACCTGCCAGACACTCATTAAACAGCAGGTTGCACACGTGTAGAAAGGACCTGGAGCACAACCCCAACGTTTCAGCTGCCTTCATCTGGTCCGCGGGGAGCTTCACAGCCTTCTTTGCCTGGCAGCGTTTATCTACCTCTATATCCCCTTTTTTCTAGGACGGGGTGCTGAATGGGCTGCCTTGCTACACGAGTTCCTTTTCTGACTGCAACCACTGCACTGTTCCCGACCTCGTTCTTGGCTCGCAGGGTGGCCGTTTTCTTCTTGTGGAAGGCTTCGCTCTTCACCTGCGCGCCATGTCTCTGAATGCTCTTTGCTGAAAGCATCTAAAGGCTCCACTGCAACCTCTTGCAACCCATGGCCTTTCGCTGAGACTCAAGGCGCTCGATGAGGGCACCGTGCTTCCAGCCCACCTGCACGAAGAACAACTCTTGGTAGCATACAGTGGGTTGGACATTACATCAGCCCAAATAATGTCAAGCAAAGCTTGCCAGTCACAAAGTCAGACTCCAACACCTCACGCACGAGTACTGGGAAAGTCCTTGTGCCCATACTCGGTCTGCGACTTTTCAAAACTACCACTTCTTCTTCTTCTTCTGCGACTACTCCGAACACTTTCACTACGTGTTCTCCTTCCACTGCCTCGCCTACTTCTACCACTTCCATCCAAATCTTATTATAATTTCAAAACTGCTCTGCTACTTCTGCTTCCTCTTCTGCTTCCACGAATTCTACTCCACCACTTTGACTTCTGATACTACTTACCGGTATCGCCAGGAGGTTTGCCGGCACGTCGCTCGTGCAAGGACTGAGAAGCTGCACATGGCCGTGTATTTCAAGTGCGTCAGGTGCCTGACTTGGCATATGAACGAAGAGTTTGGAAGTTGTTTTCAGGCCTCTCGTAGTGTTTTCAGGGATGTGGCAAGAGCACAAGCCGACGGGCTAATGCCCGCATCAATAATCCCAGTTGGCCTCGGCGGATTTGCCGCTCTCTAGACCTCAACCTAGAACCCGAACCCCGCAAGACAAAAGCCATAAGCCGAAACCCTCAAAAACCTCGGGTTTCTCGGCACAAGCCATGCTCTCCACTCTTCGCGCGGCAGAGTGAGGGGGGGAGGCTGTTTCGAGGGGGAGAGGGGAAGGGAGGGAAGAGGGTGAGGAAGGAGGGGCAAGGTGCAGAGGAGAGGGGAGGGTAGGGAGGAGAGGCCCGGACATTGTTGTTCTGACCCAGGACGAGGCATGCAAACAAGAACAATCGCGAGCTCAGCTGTCGCGACTTCTGCTTCGACCACTTCTGCTACTTCTAAGACTGCCCGTACTTCCATCACTTCGACTGCCTCTACTCTACTTCCAATACCTCCACTACTTGCTCACCTCCTTGGAGAGGTCGCCGAGGCGGCAGAACCGCCGCTCGGGGCGGAGGCGGAGGACTTTCAGGCAGCTGGGGACCTCGGGGGCGCAGAAGAAGCTGTCCACCGTTTGCCAGAGACTGCCACAGGCAGTTTCATGCTATCCAGTTAGCCAGTCCCACTGAGCTGCCTGCAACCATTCCTTGCCGAGAGCATTCTCTGCACTGCCGCTGACTAGCTTAAGGCGTGCAGACTCCAGACAAGCGTCGCTTCTTGCGGTCATACGGATGCGGGATTCCCTCGAAGGTCTTGAGCCTAACACCCATGGGCCATGGCCAGCAAAAAATCACCGAGTCCTCTTGCCATCTCATGAACCGACCGCGCCTGTCCAGGGCAGCTGCTCCACGAGCGGTCTTGTGAGGAACCTGATTCACTGATGGTGACAGTCCTAGCTACGTCAAACAGAGAGGACTCACTACTTCGAGGCTCTACAGGAGGACGCACGTGCCTGGCAAATTCTGGCAGCGTCTTCTAGTCCAAGGCACCATTCCGCGGATAGTGCGCCAGAGGATCTTCGATGGTGCTCGGTAGTGGAAAGGCCCTTGTCGGGGATTGGTGTTCCTCGGCGGTGGCATGCTGTCTCAGAACTCCAGTCAAGCTGACTCAAGCCTGTCACTTCAACGCGCTTCATGTCACTGGAATTCCGGCACACACTGTTGAGGACAAGGGTCATGTGCTTCCTCTTGAACGCTGCGTACTTCAGCTTGTTGCGGTACAGGGAGCCAGAGATGTTGATGTCTTCCGCGCGGACGCACACGACGTGCCTTCAGGCTCTTGTTCGAGCATTGATTGGCAGCGAAGAACGGCTTGGATCCCTGCTGTCCATTCAGCAGCTCCTTTGCGAGCACGGATGCCAGGCCTCGGGCTGGTTTTCTAAGTGTCTGACTTCCTACGTCTTCCAATGTCTTCCACATCCTTCGCACCCTCCTGGGTGCAGAGCGACCCAGCAAATGCCCGCGGCAGTCCACAACAATCTGCCAGCAACGCGCGCGCTGAAGGCACAAAGAGCTATTATGAAGATCACTGGCGCCGCGCGCTGGCGGGTGCGACAGCAGCCCGCCTGCGGCGAGAAGGACATCCTCAAAGGCCCTTGCCTTCACCCCGAGCCTGAACTTCTACTGCTCGAGCCGACTCGCGACAGGCAGCAACTGAGCACCTCTACGGTTCCTCAGACCGCTTCCTACTTCGACCCACCATCTGAGTGGAGTTGGTGCACTAAGGGTTTCGAGGCTGTTTTTTGCTCGCGTAGCGGCTGCAGGCACTGACGGAGAGCTTGCGGCCCACGCAGTCAAAGTCAGCGAAGCCGATTCTGAGCTTATCCGACCACGCTGCCAGGTTCTGCAGAAGGCGCATGCCTGCCAACAGGCAGCCCTTAGCCGGCTGCACTACTACACGCTCGTGTGACTTAGACACAGATAATTCCGAAACGTATGCTGCAGTGGGGGGAGGGGCAGCGAGAGAGCATGCGTGAGAAAACGTCAGTTTAACGCACTGTTAACCCCAGCGCGGCTCAACGAAAAGCCCTGCACATTGATCCAGATTTGTATGCTTATCTTTCTTGCATATACATATGTATATCTATATATGCACATGTGCAAAACCGTCTTTGCGCTTAGCCTGTCGGATCAAAATCAGCACAAGTGCCTCCTGCACCCAAGCCCCCAGATCAAGCCAAAGCCAAGCATGATCATGCAGGCCGTTGTTTTCGCAGCTGGCAGGAAACGAGCCAAGAGTTCATTGACGACTAGCAGCGACTAGCAAGTCTGTGTGCTGCTGCACAAGATCGGCTATGAAAGTTACGACAGATTCTGTGCAAATCGCCGTTGTCCTAAACCCGGCTGTCAGTCACTCATCGCCTTGGGCGGCAGGCTGCTCCAATACAGGAGCCATGGACACAGAAGTGATGCAGCAATTTACATAAAACGACACAGGTGCCAACGCATCCTGCATTCTTGCGCACCTCTACGATAAGACACCGTCATCGATCTGTCCAGGGAGTGTGAAACGAGACTCCTTGAGTCGTTTGTTCGTCCTCACGTGGGCCGCTTCCTCGTGCGACATCCAAGAGCATGTTGTTGATGGACGATCTATCACGTCCAACGTCCTCAAAGAGAACCCGCCAACACGCAGGAACGGAGACCCCAGCATGTGAAGCATTCCAGACATTCTGAGGGGTATACATCCTGGGGCCCCACGCCAGGCTGCATGGATGTGGTCATGGTGAGAGAAGTCCTTCAAGCCTCTCTCTGCTATGTACAGCTTCCTCGGTGCAGGATGGTGCAGGTTCTACTACCCTGTACAACCCGCCGCATGCCCTGCACTGGGTCTATAGGACTGCGCCGAAAGCTTGTCTTGCGGGCTTTACGAGGCGAGGAACCTTACATGGCCTGGCCTGTCCCTAATGAACATCATGATCGGGGGTGATAAGTCGGAGCCTGCACGTATGCACATATGCATGTGTCATGTGGATACTTATATGTTTTTGTTGATTCTGATGCATGGCCCCAGAGACCGGCACATGTGCACAAACTCATACTGCAGATTGCATGTATGCACATGAATGTTCCTGGTATTGCTACAGGATGGCTGCCTCCGAGATGCATCTCAGGTACGTCCGCTGGCGGCAGAATGAACTTTGGGGTGCACGGCGGCGTCAGGGGTGTTTTCCGCATCGTGGTCGGGCGCGGATCCTGCGGTGGATGGGCGCCTTGGATGTGCCTTCTGCAATATTCTGGAGTGGATCCTACATGCAAAATCGCACCGAACAGAGGCGCTCTTAAACCCGCTAAAGAATTCAACCCAAGTGGCTGAGATAGTACTGGGTCGGCATGTCATCTCTTACGAACCAGCTGGCCGAGGAGGCCTTGTCGGAGCCGCAGGGTTGCGCTGGGGTCGTCGGATTAGCTCTCAGGACTTCGGGACAAGTGTTAGCAAGCACCCTGCCGTCTCCAAGCATTCGCGGATATCCACCTTGGGCTTCTCTCTCCGAGGCCGTGCTGGGAGCCTGAGACACTCCACAGCGAACACAGACGTGCGTTGGAGGGCGTGGGAGCGCGTACGTCACGTTTAGGGTTGGATGTAGGGTTTGGGTGTAGGACAGTGCGGGGCTTCGCGTTTTTGTTCAATGTATGTTCAGGGTTCAGTGTTCAGAGGATATTCTTAGCGTCCTCGAGGTCATGTCAGACAGCCAGGGTGCTCGGCATGGATCTGCCGGTGGGCGTAGTTCTTCCAGTACTCATCTAAACGGCCAACGTCCAGTCCATCCACATCTGGCAATTGCTGGAGCAGCGTTGACAATCTGCACTTGCTCTTTGCTCTTTGCTAGAGAGACAATTCTTGCACGTACTTGTCATCAGCAACAGCAGGTGCAATGCGGAGACTGCGCCAAGACTCGCCTTCGATGCCCGGAGACTTGGTTTTGCGCGGGGTTGCATGACTTGGCAACTAAAGGCAAGAGTGGAAAGCTGAAACGTGGTCAGAGATCAACAGCGAGCACCAGCGACCCTTGATTCGTGTGTGCGACTGGCAGGCAGCATTTCAAGGACACGAAAGAAGGCCCAAGAGTCAGGAACGAACCCTAGCATGGCCCAGGCTGTCCAAGGGGCCACAAAGTTTCGCACCACCGACACGGTTGCCCCCATGGAAGGCACGGGCAAATGCCATGCAAAGGCGATACTATGAAAGCTAGAACCTTGTGAACATGAAGACTGTGCTGTTGCAAAGCGTGTCACGATTCTGCTGAGTGACGACTCTAGCACAGGTTGACGTATACAACCTAGCGAGCTCCCCGACTTCTAACTACAGTAGATGCGCACTTGGCACACATGAAATCAGAGCCTGTTATCCACTAGGCTACTCCAAGCCCAAATGCCTATTGGCAAGCAGATCCAAGCAGCACGCCGACCTACGAAAGGCACACCACGGCGCCCACAGCGCTGCAAGATACTTGTGAAAATGCTGCAAGCTTCTGTGCGAGCAAGCCCAACTAATTAGCCCAGCCTCGCAACCCGTGCCAAGCCCACGAGGCCTGCGGCCCTGGCCAACGACAGTGCCTTCGGCAGCGCTTGCATGGACGGGGCCCCCTCCTCTTCCTCCTGCTCCTCCTCCGCGCGCGGCATGCCGCGTAGGAGGGCCCAGACGGTGGCCTCCAAGGCCACCGGGCTCAGGCTGCCCTTGGACCATCCCAGGCCCTCCACTGCAGAAAGCGCCTGGCTCCATCTCCCAGTTGTGGACAAGAGGCCAATGAAGCCATCCCAGGTCATCGAGTCCAACTCCAGCATCAAAACCGGTGCCTCAACAAGAAGGGCCAAAGATCTCACCCACTCTCCTCCAGCAGCACATGCCTCGGATGCGGCACCGAAGGACACTTCAGAAGGCGACCCCTGCAGCAAGCTGCAGCATGTCGGCCATGCATCGTGGCAAGCTCCGACGGCTGCCGCCCACGACACCAGTGTAGGGCGCAGGGCGCAGTGTCGAATGTCCCCCATCAGCCGCAGTGCGTGCACCCATTCTCGCACCTTACTACACGCTGAGATCGCCGAGTTGAATCCCGCCACTCCCAAGGCCAGACTGGAGTCGCTTGTCTGCAGCGCCCGCAATGCCAGGTTCCAAAACATTCCCTTTTCAAGCGCGCTCACTGCTGTCCTCAATGACACAGAATCCAGCTGGAGATCTCGAGCACCCAAGCCTGAGATTACGAACATGGCCCTCTCCCAGCGACCTCCTTTGCTACACGCGGCCGCTATCACATTGTTGCAACGAAGCAAGCCATCAGCGGACCGATTGCCCAGAGCATCCAACGCATGATGCTGCCATCCTTCCATGCCCAAAGCTTGACTCCATCGTGAGGACCTGCTCAGGCCAGTCAGGACCGCGTTGCAGCTGACCAGGTCCGCGACATCGCTCCCCGCGGCAAGGAGCGCAAGAGCCCGGCACCACGCAGCTACATTTGCACAGGCGCTTAGAAGAGAGTTGAGTCCAAAGGCTCCTGGGCCTGGAAACTGGACTGTGAATGCCACAAATGCCTTTACCGCGGCCCTCCAGGCAGAGCCCTTCTCGAGGGCACTCAGCCTCGAAGCGATCAACATCAGATCGGGCTCCAGAGCCTCTAGCTTGAAGAGATCGGACATGTGAAGCGCCTGCATCCACTTTGTGGCCTTCGCCTGAGCAGCCACAAGCGATGTGACGCGGCGCAGCATGCCGTGGTTGCCATGGTTGCCAACATACTTCGGCTGGCATGAGCTCATGAACCATTGCTCTAGCACGTGCCAGCTGCCGGTTGCAGCGGAAAGGACTGCCAAGTCTAACCTCGATCTGAAATCTCGAGAGGCATGCGCATGCATCCGCTCAGGCATCACTGGCCCTAAGATGTTGCCTGCTCGCTCCCCTCCTGTGCGACTGCGTGCTCAGAACAATGTAGCTAGCTTCCTTTTGTTCCATCGCTTCAGGTCTCAACTTGCTGACAGGATTTGGGTCTCAAATTGAGGATGTGGACCGCGCGCTCACATTGCCAATACACTTCCACAAATGGGACCTGCGTGCATGTCCTTCCTCCTGAGCCCCAAATTTCCGGAAGCAAGCCTGCTGCCCTGCGTTTGTGGACAGTCAAGCTTTGCTGTTGGGATGCCGTCTGCAAATGTGGGACTTCGAGGAGCATCTGGGGCCAGCCTAGCAAGGCCCTGTCTATCTACCAAAGCTAAATGTCGCCAGTGCAAATTCCAGTGCAGCGAGATTCTTGAGTCGCGTTGTCCTCAATCCACCTCGCTCTGCTGCAACGCACGGAAACAGGACACTTTCCCTCTCTTTCTGTCTTTCTCTCGTTCTCAAGTTCTCTCTTTCTTTCTTTCTCTCTTTCTCTCTCTTTCTCTCTCTCTCTCTCTCTCTCTCTCTCTCTCTCTGTCTGCACGCTTGGCCCCCGCCCGAAGGAGAATCTCTTTCTCTCTTTCTCTCTTTCTCTCTTTCTCTCTTTCTCTCTTTCTCTCTTTCTCTCTTTCTCTCTTTCTCTCTTTCTCTCTTTCTCTCTTTCTATCTTTCTCTCTTTCTCTCTTTCTCTCTTTCTCTCTTTCTCTCTTTCTCTCT